TTTTTTTTTTTTTTTGATCAACATAATTTAAGAGTGCTGTGAAAGCTTTAACTATAGGTTCAAGTATGCTGTGAGATTAAAAAAAATGTCAAAAAACAATGCACTATGGGTGGCACCTGTGGCTCAGTGGGTAGGGGGCTGGCCCCATATTCTGAGGGTAGCGGGCTCAAACCCGGTCCTGGCCAAACTGCAACAAAAAATAGCCAGGCATTCTGTTGGAGCATGTAGTCCCAGCTACTTGGGAGGCTGAGGCAAGAGAATCACCTAAGGCCAGGAGTTGGAGGTCGCTGTGAGCTGTAACGCCACAGCACTCTACCGAGGGTGATAAAAGTGAGACTCTGTCTCAAAAATAAAAAGAAAGAAAGAAAGAAAAGAAAAGAAAGACAATGCAGCAGAGGCTTGTAATACACCCTTTCTCCCCTTAGATATTATAAAGACTAAAGGGCTCTTTTCATACTAATAGACATGAAAAGAGCCCCTTAGTTTTGATAATAAAAAGTCTCTCCATACGTTGCCAAATGTCCCACGGAGAACCACTGGTCTAGATATATCTGTAGGTACAATCCTTTCAAAAAATGCTGAGGTCCTCAGGTTATTTCCTCATAATATAGTTGTTTTAATGAATAGTTTGCCGGCAAATCTCATTTGTGGCCAGCAAGCTCTGCAGATAAGACAGAGCGACTCTGTAGTGAGTGCCAGGTCTCATCACTACTCAAGCCCTCTCATTATGTCATTACATATGTGTGTTCATTTATTTATCACACTCTACCTTTCAAGAGCCTTTAAAGCGGCCCCAACTCATCTCTTTTTTGGAACATCTGGTCATATCTGTACATTGCCCAGGCATCTGGGCTGTGTGGAAGTGTGTCCATCCCTGTCAGAACCCTTCCCACATTTTATTCTGATTTTGCCTATTTTTTTTTTCTGTCCCACTATACTTTAAGACCCATGACAGTAAAAACAATGACTGTCTTGTTCACCATTGTATTCCCCAGCATCTAGTTGGCACATGGGAGGTGCCCAATAAACATTTGTTGAATGATTATGTAATAAAAGTTATATGTTTTATTTATAACTGTGGGTCAAAGATACAGAAATTAGCTACTTTGTACCCTAAAATACAGCTTACAGATTATTTATTTTAGTTTACAATAATCATTGCTTGTGTTTTTTCAGAGCCTCCTAGGTACCTTTACATGTGTTATCTTACTAATCACGAAGCAACTTTATTGAAAAATGAGAAATTGGCTCGGCGTCTGTGGCTCAAGTGGCTAAGGCGCCAGCCACGTACACCCAAGGTGGTGGGTTCGAATCCAGCCTGGGCCCACCAAACAACAATGACGGCTGCAACCAAAAAATAGCAGGGCGTTGTGGCGGGCACCTGTGGTCCCAGCTACTTGGGAGGCAGAGGCAGAAGACTCGCTTGAGCCCAGGAGTTGGAGGTTGCTGTGAGCTGAGATGCCATGGCACTCTACCCAGGGGGACAGCTTGAGGCTCCTGTCTCAAAAAAAAGAAAAATGAGAAATTAAGGCTCGGAGAGAGTTTATGACTTGGGCGATTATGTATAAGAAGCCCCTATTTGGACCTAGGCCCACCTAACTGCAGGACCTGGCCCTAGTCTGCCTTGATATATGAGGATTATTTTTAAAGCTCATGAAAAATGCATATTTTGAAAAAACTATGCATGGATTTCAAAAGTTTTTGCACCAATATAAACTCCTACTAACTTGTTAAAACATTTCTGAACAGGATCTAGTCTGAGGCACTAAGAAGGATAAGGCATTAGTATGAAAAGAGCTCCTATCAGAACATGAATTCTGCTAAAATTGAAGGAAGAACATACATTAAATTTGTGGTGAAGAATGGTGAAATCATTGGTGCTTTAGGAAAAATTTATGGGGACAATGTCCCAAAGAAATCAGCAGTTTACAAATGGATAACTCATTTTAAGGAGGGACAAGATAATGTTGAAGAGGAAGCCTGCAGTATCAGACCACCAGCATCAATTTGAAAGCAAAAAATTAAACTTGTTTGCACGCTAAATGGAGAGAAATGATGATTAACAGCAGAAACAACAGCCATAGCCATCTCAATCCACTCAGCTTACACAATTCTAACTGAAAACTTAAAATTGAGCAAACTTTCCAAACCATGGGTGCCAGAACTGTTGCACCAGATTAGCTGTAGACAACAGCAGAACTTTCAATGTAGATTTTCAACAAGTGTGATCAATATCCTGAAACATCTCTTTGAAGAATTGTAACTGGAGATGAACCATAGCTTTACCAGTATGATCCTGAAGACAAAGGACAAAGTGATGGCTACCGAGAGTTGGAAGTGGTCCAATCAAAGGAAAAGCAAAAAAGTCAAGAGCAAAAGTCATGACAACAGATTTTTGTGATGCTCAAGACATTTTGCTTGTTGACTTTCTGGTAGACCAAGAAACAACATCTGCTTATTATCAGAGTGTTTGGAGAAAGTTAGCCAAAGCTTTAATAGAAAAATACCTGGGAAATCTTTACTAGCGAATCATTCTCCACCATGACAATGCTCCTGTTTGTTCCTCTCATCAAATGAGCGTAATTTTGTGAACACTTTCATGGGAATCATTAGGTATCCACCTTACAGTCCTGATTTGGCTCCTTTTGACTTCTTTTTGTTCCTTAATCTTTAAAAATATGTAAAGGGCACTCATTATTTTCTGACTGAATTGACATGGTTAAATTCCCAGGATGCTCAGTTCTTCAGGTATGGGCTAAATAGTTGATATTATCACTTACAAAAGTGTCTTGAACTTGACAGAGCTTATATTTATTTATTCTGAGACAAGGTCACATTTTGTACCTGGGCTAGAGTGTAGTGGCGTTGTCATAGCTCGCTACAACCCCAAATTCCCAGGCTCAAGTGATCCTCCTGCTTCAGCCTCCCAAGTAGCTGTGCCACCACACCTGGCTAATTTTTCTATTTTTTGTAGAGATAGGGTCTTGCTCTTGCTCAGGCTAGTATTTTTATCTTTTAATTCAATTTCCCATGAATTTTTTTTTTTTTGAGATAGAGTCTCACTTTATCACCCTGGGTAGAGCGCTGTGGCATCATAGCTCACAGCAATCTCAAATTCTTGGGCTCAGGCTCAGCGCCTGTGGCTCAAGTGGCTAAGGCGCCAGCCACATACACCTAACGTGGAGGGTTCGAATCCCCAGCCCGGGCCCACCAAACAATAATGATGGCTGCAACTAAAAAATGGCCAGGCGTTGTGGCAGCTACTTGGGAGGCTGAGTCAGGAGACTCGCTTGAGCCTAGGAGTTGGAGGCTGCTATGAGCTGTGATGCCATGGCACTCTACCCAGGGGGATAGCTTGAGGCTCCATCTCAAAAAAAAAAAAAATTCTTGGCTCAAACGATTCTTTTGCTTAGCCTCCTAAGTAGCTGGGACAATAGGCACCTGCTACAACGCCAGGCTATTTTTAGAGACGGGATCTTGCTCTTGCTCAGGTTGGTCTCAAGCCTGTAAACTCAGGCAATCTACCCGCCTCGGCCTCCCAGGTTGCTAGGATTACAGGCGTGAGCCACCGCGCCCAGCCCAAATTTTTGTTTTAATTTTAAAATTGCTTTTGACACATTCTTGCACTGTCGCCCAGGCTGGAGTGCAGTGGCATCAGCATAGCTCCCTGCAACCTCAAACTTCTAGGCTCAAGTGATCTTCCTGCCTCAGCCTCCCAAGTAGCTGGGACTACAGGCATGTACGGCTTTGCCTGGCTAATTTTTCTACTTCTTGTAGAGAAGGGGTGGGGAGACAAGATCCCAGGAGAACCCCTGCTTCTGGAATCACTCGGGGCTCCCTTCCTCTTCTAGCTTTTTTCAGACTGGACTAGGAGAAACTGGAAGGTCTGGACCGAGGGGAAGGGGCGAGGGACCTTTCTAATACTACCCTCGGAGACACATCCCCTCGGTCTTCGGATTAACCTTGGGGAACCAGGGATGGAAGAGACACTTTGAGTCCCCCCTCTACTCGTAGAGGAGAGGGAAGTGCGCGGAGCCAAGGGCGGAGCTGGGCGAACTCCTGGATACGCCCTCCTTTAGCACGCCCCGCCCTGGGCAGCACGCCCCGCCCGCTGCGCCCCGCCCCCTCCGCGGGACCCGACTGGGCTGCGCGCACTGCCCAGCCGGGGCCCGGGAGCCTCCAGGCGGAGAGGCTCCCACCCTCCCTGAGCAGCGACCTCCGCATGGAGTGGCCGCTCGCTCTGTCATCGGGGTCGGGGCCGCTCTCGCTGCCGGTGCTTGGAGGTGGAGACGCCGCTGTTCTGGAGCCCGGAGTCCGGCAACACTCGGGACACGAGACAGCGGCGCAGCGGTACAGTGCCCGCCTGCTGCAGGCCGGCTACGAGCCCGAGAGGTGACGCCCAGGGCAGAGCGCGCGGGGCGCATCCGGGGCGGGCGGCTTAGGAGAGCGCGGCGGCTCCGGGAACCCGCGGCGCTGCGGGAGAGGGGAGGGGCAGGCCCCCCCATACCCTTCCTCTCCTACCGCCTCAACCTCTAACTTCCTGAAACGCCACGCTCTGGGCTTTGGTTGGGGGATCCAGGCTGATACAGTGCAAAGGATTCGGTGCTGCGTTGCACAGGAGAGCAGGGGACAGGGAGCGAGCAGGTCGTTAAAACGTTCCTTAAAATCTTAGCCGTGGATTACACACCCAAAGGCACCCAGTCCAAGTGGCTCCAACTCGTGGGGTTCAGATAGGTTGTTGGAGTCCCTGGCCAACTTTGCTAACTCCTCCTTAGCTGTTTCCTCCTAGAACTACCTTCACTAGTCTTACTGGCAGGAGTAGGTGTCCAGATGGGTGGCCTCTGCAGGGCCAGGTGAGGACACTGTTCCCTCCTTACCATGCACTGAGGTCAGATGAGGCTGCCGGGGCAGCTCATCTCAAACTCTCTCTGAAGACTCCGATCCCCATACTGGGGTATGTATGGCATAAGGGGCACTGGAGGGAGAGTGGGATAGTGAGCTGGGTCCCAGAGGTACTGGCTGAAAAGGAGACAGCGGCTAATCTCTGGATTGCATCGCAGCTTGAAATGCAATCCCACTGTCCTTCCGGTTCAGGGGATTTGGACTTCTTTCTCTGCCCCATCTGCTGGTGCTCAGCAGCTTGGGGAGGTGACCTGGCATCTGGGTTTGGGGGGGTGGTCTGGGGGAATTAGCTTGGCAGCTCTGCCCAGGGGCTGGCTGCTTATGTAAGAACTTTTAACGGCTTAAGGGGCTGCAGGGCAGCCAGTCTGCCAGGTAAAACCTGGTCCCTCTTGTCCTAGAAGTCCTCTCTAGAATTGACACAGGCTTAGGCAACCCCTCTATTTCCTCCTATCCTAGAAATCCAGTTCCTGAGGCTCAAGGCCCAGGGTGATCAGGAAGGATGAGGGCAGAGGAGACAGGCTGGGGCACTTGCAGGCTGGATGGGTAGTTAGAGCAGTTATTGCAAAGGCCTCCCTTCAGAGTTCATGCCAGGCCCTTGCAGGTGTACCTCTTCTCCAAGTTGTACTTCTGCAGCAAGGGGCCATCCCTATCCCACAGCCACATTTTTGCTCAAAAGAGTCTGTATAAACCTGAGACCCAGCCAGGTGGTATAATGAGATTCAAAACCTGCCTGCTAGTCCTCCATTTGCCTTCACCAACCTGGAGCTATGGGAAGAGGGCAGGGTTCCATGGGGAATGCTAGGTTTGAGTCCAGTGTTAGTGTTCTCTAGCTTGAACTTGGGCAAACCATGACCCTGTTCCAGCTTAACAATGCTAATATTATTACCTCTTCTTCCCTCAAAAGTGTTTTGAAATCTTGTTCCTTCAAAAAGCTCCAGGCCAGACAAAGACATCTGGATCCCTGCCTGGCCCTCTGTACCTAGCTGGGCACCACTTCTCTACTAGCTTGAGGAAGGGGCTTAGACCAGCTCACCTACCCTGACAGCTGGCTGTGAAGTGGGGAGTCTCAGGGGACCAGCAGCTCTTCCTCAGGCTGAGGAGTCCTACTGGTTGCCTGGGTGTCTCCTCCCCATGGAGGAAGCAGCTGGGGAAGATCAGGAAGAGAGAGGAGGAAAAGGGGGGGAGGTGGATTAACAGCGTCTCTGGAAAAGGACAGCCTAGCTCAGGGCTGAGCCTGCAGCTTAGAGTGAGGAGGCAAACTGACACAGGTCACAATGAGGGGTCAGGGGAGCAAGAAAAAGGGAATGGGGTCCTGAAGTCTGTAATCACTGGGAAGGTGACCCTCTCCTCAACTTGGCCTGGCAGGCTCTTCCTTTGGATCCCAGAGTTCTAGGCTGGGGCATATGTCACATTAAGGTCACCTGAGATGGCAGAACCTAGCTGTTCTCTTGGGCCCCAGCCCTAGGGGAACCCTGAGTAGTAACCTAGGCATTCTGGACACGCTGTAGGGGATGGTGACCCACAGCAACTCCCTTAGAGACCCAGAGAGACCACTGGGGCAGCCTCTGCTCTGTGCCTGCTACTGGATAGCCCTGTCCTTCTATGGCCAGAAAGGTGCCCCAGGGGCAGCCCTAAATGGCCAGAGTCTCACTGCTTTGCTCCAGGCAGCCAGCATGCACCTCAGTATACTCTCCTGCCTCTCCCCCTATGGCCTAGGCTCCCTGCCTGGCTCTACGAATACTAAAGGTTCAGAGGTTCTTCCCAGGCATCCTAGCAAGATGGCCCCAGCCCCCACGCAGCAGAGCACCCCAGCATGACTACTCCCTCCCTTCTAAGGCCAGAGGCCCCCATTGGGAACACTCCAGGGAGCTCCACTGGTGGGGAAGAAAGTTTAGGGGGATGTGATGTCCCTGTCCCCACATAAGGGTAAAGTCTCTTCTCACACTCTCTGCCAGACTGGTCTTATGGCTTGAGCTCCTTGGGAAGCCTCCCCTCTGCACACACATTGAACAGTCTGTGTTTTCCTGGCAGGATCCCGGGGGCATCCATGGGCATCCCAGAGAGGCTTGTGGCTTAGAGGCCAAACATCCCCTGGGCCTGCCTGCAACCACACTACTGAGAGGTAAACAAACAGCCTCCCAGGGCCACAGACAGCCACCATGCCAAGGAGAGGACTGTGTCCCTGCCCCACGTGTTCTCTCACCTCACCAAGAAGTGAGCTGTGGGGACCACAGGAGGACACCATGATGAGGCTGTGGAGTTTGGGTGGGGGGACCCACTCTCTAGCTTTTGATCAAGGAGGAACACTGGCAGTTCTGGCACATGAGAGGGAAGGGTCTGCCTCCTACCATCCTGCCTTTCCCCATAAAGGATCAATTTGCTACCTTATCTTACCCCCCCCCACCCCATGTAAAAATTTGGGTCTTGCTGGGCACCCAGGGCCACTAACTTCTGCTTTGGGAATTTTTCAGAAGTTCCCTAGCCTATTCTCATTTCTATTCGTACTTGTCTAAGCTAGGCCTGTGAAGGTTCCTTCATCTTACCACCAGCCTACCCTCTCAAATAAAAACAAACTTTCCTCTTTGGGGTAGAATCCCTGGTATCTACACCATTTTCTGAGCTGGGGATAGGACTGTCTGACTGAAGCATTGGACAAGAGTCCAGAGCAGTATCCTTCTCCTCTTTTGAGCTGTAGGTTTGCATCTGTAAAGTGGGGGAATACCTAATTGGCAATTAATTGATAGTGAAGTGAATGGGATCATTTATGAAAAATGCTTTGTCAACTGCAGAGGGCTCCAAGGCCACCAAAGTTCAAGGAGTGTCACTGTTAAGAATATCGGGCCGCCTAAACATGATGTCTTGGTGGGCGTAGGGGTCCAACTTCAAAATCCTGTGTGTTTGGGATGTGTGAGCTCAGACCAATTTCTCAGGGATCCAGGCCTTGATAGGGTCCAGGGATTAGTACTGCGGAAAGGCAGGACCATGTTAGAGGTACCCCTGGGAGTGGGGAGTACGGCAGGAGGGGATTCAAGCAGGCTGGGGCCCAGCGGCCTGGGGTGGCTCGGGCTGGCAGCGAACCCAGTAGGCGCGCGGCCGCTGGTCCCCGAACGCGGCCAAGAGGAGCGGCCGAGGGGGGCGTGTCCAGGCCTGGCTCAGGCCCCTCCCCCCTGGACTCCCTAAAACCCGGCGAACCAGGTGGCGGTGCCACTGCAGGAGGCCCGAGGCGTGCGCACCACGGTAGCGGCGGCGGCAAGGACAGCCGCTGTTGGGCCAGGCTCCTTTGGGCTCTTTGTGCGGCGCGGAGCGGAGGCGGTCTCGGGGGCGGGGCGGGAGGGGAAGGCCCGCCCCCGGCCCTCCCGGCCCGCGGCGGCAGCGTGTCCGCGGCGCGGCGTCAGCAGCAGCGGCAGCCACAGCAGCGGTGGCAGCAGCAGCGGGGCGGCCCGCACTGGTGTTTATGTCGGGTCGCGGGGTCTCCCAGCAGCATGGCGGACTACCTAATCAGCGGCGGCACCGGCTACGTGCCCGAGGATGGGCTCACCGCGCAGCAGCTCTTCGCCAACGCCGACGGCCTCACCTACAAGTAAGCGCGGGGAGCCGAGGCCCCACTTGGTGCGCACATCAACGCCTGGGATTCCCCCGGCCCAGCCCTGAGAGCGCACGGCTCTCCCCTCGCAGGCGCCACGTTTCCTGGCCCAGTACGAGTGACTTGGAGGGGGGTGGCGGGCTGGGGGGGATGGCCAGGGGAAGGAAGGAGGCCCGCGCTGAGAGCAGAGAGACGTGGCACAGTGACATCGCGGCCCTCAGCGCCCTGCTCCGTTTCTGGCCAGATCTGGGTTTGGCCTGCCCTCCTTCTCCTCTCGTGGACATGGAGGGGCCTTGGGGCGAGTACGAACTTGTGGGCATCCTGGGAAGACTTCCTAGCCATTGGTCCAGAACACCCTCTCCCAGCCTCACCACGAGGGCAGAAGGGGCTGTGGCAGCTGCTTGAGCGTTGCTCCCCTGGAGAGGCTGGGCTGGGTGGTCACAGGCCTGGCTCCTTTGCTCCACTTCCCAGTCCAACCCTCCTTCTACTTGTGTACTTGTCTGCCCACAGGTTGGTATGGTGCACCCCCTCTCAATCCCCCTCCGCGCAAGTATTCTGTGACTGCCACTCCCAAACCCACCCCATGCAGGATTTTGGAGGAGGATGGATACCTTACTGGTCTGCCTCTGGCTTAGTTTGCCTTCTCTTATGGGCCCTAGGCCAGTTGTCCTGCCAGCTGCAGACCTGGCACTAGCGCTGACTACTGGCTGCAGGATAGTGTCCCTGCCAGGAAGGAGCATCGGGAGTGGGTGGAGAGGGAATGCTGGCTAACCAAGAGCATCCCTTGACTGTCTCCTTCCTTTCCTACCTTGGATTGTAAGCACTTCTGCTTAGTACGCAGTGTCTCTAAACATTGGATACCCAGTCGCTCCTCAGGACCATCTCCTACCTGCCATAGGTCAGGATTGTATATAATACCAAGAAAGTGCGAAAAGTTCCAAATACCAGCATTTCCTCTCTGCCATCTAAGTGAGCCACTAAAACCTTCTTGCTTGGGTGGTGCCTGTGGCTCAAAGGAGTAAGATGCCGGCCCTTCTTGCTTTACAGCAGAAGGACTGCCAAGGAGTGGGAACAGCTGAAATTCTTTGTTTCCTTGGTGGGTTTGGTGATGGGAGAGAGTACATCTTTGCATCACTGGAGCCTTCTGGGGAAACTCCTAGTAGTTTCTCTAGGCCTTGGAACAGATTAATGACCACATTCTCATCCACCCTATGGCTTTTACTTCCTGCACTAGGGATGCTTGCTGCTTTGCTTAGCCCAGTTCAGAGTGTTCCTGAAGCATGGGGTATTTGTTTTTGGGTGTGTCTGTCAAGACCTGCTGTGATTTCAGGCAGCTTGAGCCTGTGAGGCCCCTGGGCTATGGCACTACCATAGATGTGCCAATGCAGGCCTCCCCTTCTGGGATGCACCATGGCCATGGCCTATGAGAGTGTTGGCAGCTGCCACACTTTACTGGGGCCTCCATGCCCTGGATCGAACTGCAGGGCCTCCCTCCTCCCCTCTCTTATCCCAACCATGTTTATTGATTACCTCAGTCCCAAGTGCCTGCTCTGTTAGAACATGCCCTGTGCTTGGCCCCCTGAGGACCCTCCATGCTTTCTGAACCTTGTGTGACTCAGCAGCCCAGACACTGTGGTGTGCAGCTTGTCCTGTGCTGGGTTACGTTCATTCCATGTTGCACTACAGGATTGTTCTTGGGTTCCTTCCCTGTGTTTAATTATTGCCTCTCCCTATGAAGATTGAGAAGTTAGGCCAGGCTCAGTGGCTTATGCCTGTAATCCTAGCACTCTGGGAGGCCGAGGCAGTGGATTGCCTGAGCTCACAGGTTCAAGACCAGCCTGAGCAAGAGGAAGGCTCTTTCTCTAAAAGTAGCCAGGTGTTGTGGTGGGCACCTGTAGTCCCAGCTACTTAGGAGGCTAAGACAAGAGAATTGCTTATGTCTAAGAATTTGAGGTTGCTGTGAGCTATGATGCCATAGCACTCTACCAAGGGCAACAAAGTAAGATTCTGTCTTTGATATATGTGGCACTTGACAAACTCTGAGCCCTGAAGGCAATGGATGTTTGGGGCGAGCTGCCTTCATGGTACCTCAGCTACAAAGACCTGTCTTTGGCTCTCGATCTCTGAGCCAGAGTCAGAAAGACACTAGTAGACAGCATGGGACAAGTTCAGCCCTGATGGGGTAGCAGGGATCAGAGGGTTCCAGCTAATGCTCCTCTGGTCTTTTCTCCACACCCATGCTACCTCCCCTTGCAGGGGCCCTGTGGGCCACTCCTCCCCACCAATAACTCTCCCCTTTTTGTCTTCACAGCGACTTCCTGATTCTCCCAGGATTCATAGACTTCATAGCTGATGAGGTGGTGAGTACCTCTTCCTTTGACAAGGGGGCAAGGGTTGTGTATGTGGTGGAAGAGGTTGACTTCTTGTTCAAGAGCAGGGTGTAGGAGAGATTTTTCTTGGGAATGTGGTGGATGTAGCCTTTATGTTGCCAGGGACCCTGGCACTGTGTAGTGTTATGCCTGATGGGCAGAGGTAACTATGGGAATTCAGGAGGTATCCTGGTACAGGGCTAAGTGACAGAGCCTGTGGTCAGGGCTCAGAAAAGGCCCCAGGTGGCACTTGAGTATGGCTACCTTATTGTAGACCATAAGGATTGAATTTTGTCTGAAATGCTGAGCAAGGACATGAGAGAAGCCAGGGAAATTATGTAGACTTTGGATACAATGAGTGGACTTGTTTGCTGGTTCACAATGTATAAGAACTAGAGAGAAGGGCGGCGCCTGTGACTCAGTGAGAGTAGGGCGCTGGCCCCATATACCAAGGGTGGCGGGTTTGAACCCAGCCCCTGCCAAATTGCAACAAAAAAATAGCCAGGCGTTGTGGCAGGCATCTGTAGTCCTAGCTACTTGGGAGGCTGAGGCAAGAGAATTGCCTAAGCCCAAGAGCTGGAGGTTGCTGTGAGCTGTGATGCCACAGTACTCTACCAAGGGTGAAAAAGTGAGACTCTGTCCCTAAAAAAAGAAAGAAAAGAAAAAGAAAAGAACTAGAGAGAACTGAAGGAGTTAGATTTTGGACAAATACAAGGAAATACTGCCTTACTTTTCAGGCAATGAGCCAAATCAATGAACAATTAAAAGCAGGGTATCCATAAAGTCCGTGTATATTTTAAAATTGCACATTATTTTGAGGAGGAGCAGGAGAAAAAAAACCACACACAAACTTTATGGCCACCCTGTATATGACACACTCAAAAAAGCCAAAAGGAGGTAGTGAAGATGGCATAAGTCATTGCAAGAAAAAGTTTGGGCCAGATGAGGCAGCTCATACCTGTAATTCTATAGCACTCTGGGAGGCTGCAGTGGAAGAATCACTTGAGCTCAGGAGTTCAAGACCAGGCTAAAGGAAAGTGAGACCCCATCTATACTAAAAATTCAAAAAATTAGCTGGGTGTTGTGGCAGGCACCTGTAATCCTAGCTACTCTGGAGGCTGAGGCACAAGATCACTTAAGTCCAGGAATTAGAGATTGCTGTGAGCTAGACTGAAGCCATGGCACTCTAGCCTGGACAACAGAGTGAGACTCTGTCTCAAAAACAAAAAAAGTTCCATGATTCTACGATGAGTTCATATACATTTTTTAAAACCCATTTCTTTTTCTGTTGCTGTTATTACTGCTATTTATTCTGGTCTCATTCTCATGAAAGACCTGAAGGCTTGCGTGTGCTTAGGTCACTCATGTGTTAGGGAAGCTCACATTCAGCCTGTGGGTAGCCAGAGCTGGCCCAGTCAGATTTTTAGAGGGAAATTTGTGCTATTCTGGATGTTTCATTTATGACAGCAGCCAGGAACCCTTCTTTATTCAGCTGTTCAGTTAACAAAGATGCTGGGTGCTAGGAAGAAAGGGATGGAAAAGACCCCTGTCTGGCCTGAGAGGGTCTCCCTGTCCTGTAGTCTCTGTCCAGGAATTTCTGTCTCTTTTCCTATGGCATTATGATGGAGGAAAAGGTGTCATTTTCTAAACTACAGGGCCACGGTTCTGAACCAAGGTCACTGATGGACTTACACAGCCTATGAATCTCAAAAATTACACACCAAAATCAGTGTCTGAGTATTTTGAGGACTGGAATCCACAACTATTGTCACAAATCTCAAAAAGGTCTGTGACCTGGCCTTCCATACCATTCATGGGCAGATGACTCTTAAATGTATATTTGCAATTCCAACTACTTGCTTGAGCTCCACAACCTTAGTCACCTACTTTCTTGGATGGCCAGTAGACTCCATCCTGTGCCTCTCCCACGTCAGCCATTGGTACCCAGAATCCATTCTTCACATCAGAGCCCATGTGATCACTTGAAAACATAAATCAGACCATGTCTGTCCTTTGCCTAAGACTGTCCCTTGGCTTCTCTTCTCAGAACAGAACTTGAGCCACTCTCCATGGCTTCTTAGCCACACATACCTGCCTCTGCCTGCCCCTTCCTCCTCCTTCCCCTCCACTCAATTAGCCTTCTTTTTCTTTCCTAAATACACCTCAGAGGGACTCAGAGGGAGGCTTGCACACACTGCTCTTGCAGCCTGCAGTGACCATTCCACAAACTTTTCCTTGACTGGCTCCCACCTATCGCCTCCTAAGGAAGAGACTCTCCCTGATCATTCGCTTTGCCAGTGGTCACTGGCTTTGTTGTTTTCTTCATAGCCTTTGTCCTGACTGTAATCATCTTGTCCCTGTGTTTCATGTCTGTCATCTTTCTTTCCAAGTAGAATGTAAGCTTCGTTAGACTAGCAGGGACCTTATCCTCCTTGTTCACTGCCATATCCCCAGGTCTGTCCTGGTGCCACATATATGTAGGAGGTTGGTGAATGTTTGTCTGCTGGATGATAAATTCTTCACATGGACTGTGCCTCCATCCTCAGGATCTGACTTCAGCCTTGACTCGGAAGGTCACGCTGAAGACGCCGTTGATCTCCTCCCCCATGGACACTGTGACAGAGGCCGACATGGCCATCGCGATGGCTGTGAGTCCTGTACCTGGGTGGGGACCTCATGGCAGAGGGAACTGAGCAGGGCTATGCTAAGGGGCAGGGGCAAGGAAGGTTAGGCCCCCAGCTCTGACCACACTTCCCTTCCACACCAGCTGATGGGAGGTATCGGTTTCATTCACCACAACTGCACCCCAGAGTTCCAGGCCAATGAGGTTCGGAAGGTCAAGGCAAGTACCAGGCTTACCCCAGAAAGATGCCACCTGCAGCTCCCACCTCAGAGACCCTCCTGGCCTTTCTTGAGAGCCCTGCAGGCTGCTGCATTCCTTGGCTGATTGCTTTGGGGTCCCACTGCCTTTCCTCTCAGTGGGGGCTGAGACCTCACCGTTCCACTGGCCCCTAGTCCCACTGAGTGTCCTGGCTTCTTTGTGGCACCCTTGCTGTCCCTGTGGCCAGGCTGGGCACCATCCTTGGCTTTCTCCCAGCCTTTTCTTTCCCCTGTCTCTGCCTGCAGAAGTTTGAACAGGGTTTCATCACAGACCCTGTGGTGCTGAGCCCCTCGCACACGGTGGGGGATGTGCTGGAGGCCAAGTTTCGCCATGGCTTCTCTGGCATCCCCATCACTGAAACAGGCACAATGGGCAGCAAGCTTGTGGGCATTGTCACCTCTCGAGACATTGACTTCCTTGCTGAGAAGGACCATACCACTCTCCTTCGTGAGGTACCTGCAGGGCAGGGAGAGTGGGGGCTGGTGTGCAGAGAGGACCCTTTGCCCTGGGGCCTCAGGCTGGTGCCTGTGACCAGGGACCAGAGGGAGGCCTGGCTCCTTCTTTCTCACCTGCCAACCTACAGGCAAATGTTCCTGACCCTATAGGTGATGACGCCGCGGATTGAGCTGGTGGTGGCTCCAGCAGGTGTGACGTTGAAAGAGGCAAATGAGATCCTGCAGCGTAGCAAGAAAGGTACCAAGGAGTAGGCAGAAAACTCAGCCATATACCTTACTCCCTGCACCCTAGGCCCCCATTCCTTGACAGCCTTGCAGATTTTCCTAGCAACCAAACTGGGCCATAGGGAAGGTTTTCTAATAACTTCAGGCAGGCTAGATTCCTAACATCCTTCTCCAGGCTTAGGGAAACTTGTCCCTGACTTAGCCTCTTCATGGTGTGTTTACCCAAAACTAGTCCTGTGAGATGCTTATTGTGAAAAAATGCTCTGGGGTCTTAAAGGTCTGAGAAATGCTGCTTTCTATATTCCCCATCTTATATTTAAAAAATTACGTGTTAGCTTATTAAAAGCTCTGAGAGTTCCTGCCATTAATTTATTTGACATTACATAATATTCACTAGGTCCTATGGGCTACACTGGAAATGCTTCACTGATTCATACTGGAGAGTTCTTTGGGGTTTGTATTGGGCAGAGTTACATGTTCCCCCTGCAAGACAGCCTGACATTTGTGCCCTGACTAGGAGTTTTCAACCACTGTAACTTACCCTCTGAATGGCTGCCAGGGCTCAGATGCCACCCACTCCAGATGGCCAGGTTGCAGGGCAGGAAGAGCCCCAGGAACCTGCTTGGCTGGGAGGTTTCCCTGCTTTCCTGTTCCTCAGAAGAGGTCTAGGTGCCTAGAAGCACTTCCTTGTGGGTGCTGTCATCTAGTGGCTAGTTGGGATACTTCATTGGAATTCTGGTGTGGGCTACTTTTATATTCACTGTCCACTCTGCCCACCCTGTCCAGCCTGCTTCTTCATTTCACCTCTGCATTCCTTGCCAGGGAAGCTGCCTATTGTTAATGACCGTGATGAGCTAGTGGCCATCATTGCCCGTACAGACCTGAAGAAGAACCGGGACTACCCTCTGGCCTCCAAGGACTCCCACAAACAACTGTTGTGCGGGGCAGCTGTGGGCACCCGTGAAGATGACAAGTATCGCCTGGACCTGCTCACTCAGGCCGGTGCTGATGTTATAGTGCTGGTAAGGGTGCTGCCTAGGGTGAGAGTCGGGGCAGGGGCTCAGCAGAGTAGAGGTTTATGAGGATCCTAGTTCACTTCTACTAAAGCTTGTAACCCTCCCTCACTAATGATTATAGCTCACATTTAGTGACAGGATCTCCCACATGCCAGGCCCTGTGCTAAGACCTTTATGTATACCAGCCTGTTGCAGTATAGTTCTATTCCCAGTTGTCAGATGAAGTAACTAAGGCTCAAAGGTGAAGTAATTTTGGTTTGGTTTGGTTAGTGAGTTGATGGGAGCAGGATAGAACCCCTGGACATGTCCTCTTGTGAGGGGACCAATCTGCATAGTGGGCAGGGAGGGCTGTGTCTGTGCTGGGATAGTGTGCATTAGTGGTATTTATCTTTTGGGGGAGAGCAGGCCTCTTTGAGAATCAGCTGAGAGTTGTCAAGTGATTTTTCAAAAAAGAAAAAGCATTGTCGTAACCATTTTCATAGGATTTCAGAGTTCTGTCCACTTAGGACCTCCCTCCCCCAGTGAGGATCTTACCTGTCTAAGCCCTGGTTTTTCTGTCCCCTTCTCACAGGACTCATCCCAGGGGAACTCAGTGTATCAAATTGCCATGGTGCACTACATCAAGCAGAAGTACCCCCACCTCCAGGTGATTGGGGGGAATGGTGAGTGAGGGTTCCCCTCTCACCCCCTGCTCTTGTCCCCTCTCTATGTAACCCCTCTCTGTTGTTTAGTATTCCTAGGTGAAGCTATCGCTGCTGGCATGCAGTTCAGGGAGCATGTTGACTTTGGTTGTGGAAGGGGGGTCAGGGGACTAGGCTGGGGTCCCAGGAAGCCCATGGGAAGGACAGGGCATCCTATCCTCACATTGTTCCTCTGTCCCACCCCCACTCTCAGTGGTGACAGCAGCCCAGGCCAAGAACCTGATTGATGCGGGTGTGGACGGGCTGCGTGTGGGCATGGGCTGTGGATCCATCTGCATCACCCAAGAAGGTGGGTGTTAATAAGAGGGTGGTGTTGGCCCCTTAGGCCCCCCACAGGCCCAGCCCTGCCCTAAGATATCCCTCTTGCACCACAAATGCAGGCTGAGTTCTCTCTCTTCCAGGCCCCTTCCTGGGGTAGGTGGTAGGCTCTGCCTTGTGCAGCTCCTGCCCCAAGGGCAGAGAGGCGTAAGCAGGTGAGGGTGCTGATATGCACAAGCCCACTTCTCACATTCTGGCCAAGGAGATCCAGTCTGAAGGCCTGAGGCTGGTGTGCCTACCTTTCCAAGGGGTTTGTGGGAAGCCAGCTCAGGGTTTGGATTAGATTTGTGATGAGGCAGATACTTAAGACATGGAGACAACATGCCCCTGCATACATAAGGATATGTGTTACCACACATTGTTGTATGGTAACACTGTGGGAAGTAGTCCTCTCAATCACAAAGCCCTTTTTCAGGGTGGGTTTCTGACAGGGAGGGAGGAGGGATGACCCTGACACATGTCCATAACCCTGACATGTGGTTGAGGGGTGCTCCCTGGAGCTGGTGTCTGTCTTGTGGAGTGGGTGCCTGGAGAAGCGAGTCCTGGCGAGGCCTGAGGGGGTTTGTCTGGGCCCTGTTGTGTGGGTCATTTCTCCAAAACACTGAGCAACTCTTCCTGAATATCTCTCCCTTTTGGTCTTTGGAGCCTCTGTTTTTTAAGTGTCTACCCTTCACCTTGACTGATCACATTGTGAAATGTGGGCCTTCTCTCACTCACTTAGCAAATATTAATTGAGCACATACTATGTGTCAGGCAGTTCTAAACCTTGAGATTTAGTAGGGACAAAACAAATGAAAGGTTTCTTCCCTAGTTCATCCAGCCTTGCATCTATCCCTGGTTCCTTACAATTCCCACTTAAAACCTAACACTTGAGGACCTTGGACAATTAAACATGAAGAAATGCAAACCAATATCCCAAAGGAGGCCGTAAATACATAAACCTAGTAACAACCTTTGCAAATGAAGGCCTCAAAGGGAAACTTGAACATTGAGAGTAGGAGGCTACAGACCACCTATCTGGGGTGCTGTATTGTGAAGGCCAGGACTGCTCCCTCATCAGAACCCTGGTAGTGCTGTTATGGGTGGGGTAGCCTGTGTTCCTGGAGTGATGTTAGCACATCTAATATGCTCCAGAAACACCATCCAGGCCCATCCCTCCCCAGGGTAGAGGTAGGGTACAAGGAAAAAGGGCTGGCCTAGAACTTGGCCTGGCCCTGGTGCTACATTAACTCTCTTCTGCCTTGTGCACCCCACCCTCCCCCAGTGATGGCCTGTGGCCGGCCCCAGGGTACCGCGGTGTACAAGGTGGCTGAGTATGCCCGGCGCTTTGGTGTGCCCGTAATAGCTGATGGCGGCATCCAGACCGTGGGGCATGTGGTCAAGGCCCTGGCCCTTGGAGCCTCCACAGGTAAGGGGTTGCTGCTGGAGCCTGGATAGATAGGGGGCTGGGAGTGAGCGGGGCAGCAGGAGGACAGGGCCTGAGGCACTGACCCCTCAACTGCCATAGTGATGATGGGCTCCCTGCTGGCTGCCACCACGGAGGCGCCTGGCGAGTACTTCTTCTCAGACGGGGTGAGGCTCAAGAAGTACCGGGGCATGGGCTCACTGGACGCCATGGAGAAGAGCAGCAGCAGCCAGAAGCGATACTTCAGGTGCCCCAGCCCTGGCAGATCAGCCCCACAAATGCCACTGACTCCCGAGAGGGTGCCCACCATATTGTAGTTCTGGAAACTGAGGCCCAGAGCAGCAGCAGCAGCAGACACAGGGCCATGCTTGCTTATGCTGTAGCCAGTGAGCAGCTGGGGACTTTTCTGGGTGGTTCCCCCCTCCCTGTTTCCATGAGAGGTAGGGTGGGGTCCTCTGGGCATTGGGCTGCTGGGCTGAGTCTCCTCACCCTCTATGCAGTGAGGGAGATAAGGTGAAGATTGCGCAGGGCGTGTCAGGCTCCATCCAGGACAAAGGCTCCATTCAGAAGTTCGTGCCCTACCTCATAGCGGGCATCCAACATGGCTGCCAGGACATTGGGGCCCGCAGCCTGTCTGTCCTGCGGTGAGTATGCGACCCTGGGAGGCTCCATGCCCCTCCTGCTTCCTTCCTCTCTCTCTCCTTGGCCCTTGGTGCCCCTGACATGCCCTGTTTACCTGCCTGCTAGGTCTATGATGTACTCAGGAGAGCTCAAGTTTGAGAAGCGGACAATGTCGGCCCAGATTGAGGGTGGCGTCCATGGCCTGCACTCGTAAGTGTGGTGGACTTTTCATCCTTGCCTGCTGGCAGGGGTTGGGCAGCTGAGGCTGGACTTCCAAGGCCACGCTGAAATTCCAGGGACCCCATGGCCCATCTGCAGCAGGGATGCTGCGGCAGGATGACCCCTCACCCTCTCCTGCAGTGCCCAGCCCACCCTGTCCCTTGTCCTATTGCCCTAACGCAGGCAAGCGCCTCCCCTCCCCTCGGGCCTCTTCCCGAGCAGTGAATGGGAGGTATAGCCGCTAGCCTAGCCGCAGCTGGGTTCCCAGCCTTTGCTTGCTCAGGAAGCTTGGTGGCTGGTGGCAGGGGGCTAGTGGTGCTGGGCTCTTGCTGGTGGTGGCCCCAGGCAGGCAGGTAGAAGGCGTGGGTGTGAGCCCTCTGGTGGGGACAAGGACAATGAGATGGACGACAGGGCCAGCATCAGTGACCATGGGTGGGGGCAGTGCTAGTTGGCAGCAGTAGTCTTCGCAGGCATGCACCCCGCCCTGGAGGAGAGGCCCATCTCCCCAGACATGGGGGCCATCTAACTGTGTCTCTTTCTGCCCCGCCCTCCCATAGCTATACCTTTCTGCCGTGTAAGTAACCGCGCTGCCGGGGCCAAGCATAGAGTAGAGCAGGGGCAGTATGGGTGGGACCTGGGCTGGGGTGGCTATTAGATGGGAGTGGCATTCGGGTGTAGTCATGGGACATGGACCCTGGGATTGGGCCCTCCCAGACCCCTGCCCCCAGTACTATAGTTGAGGAAGCCAGCAGCAGCCCCTCATCTAGCCAGAACACAAATTCCCTTCTATGGTACAGCGATATGCTTGGGACCCTAGGCTTGAGGCTACCCTGTCTTAGACTAGACCCAGCGATGACAAGGGGCCTGGGCCCCTATGCGTGCAGGGGTCGGATAGAGACATGGCAGCAGAGTTTCATCATATGGTTGGAGCTTACTCTGTGAAAATAGGCCATGCCTTCCTGAGCTGTCTCTCCACCCCAGGCACTGAGGACAGTCCACTCAGATGTGGCAATGGCCTAAAGGAGGATGAGCCTCTTTGGACCTAAACAGTTGGTCAAGGAGTTCTGGCCTGGGGAGGACAGAGGCCTAGGGCCTGCTCGCTGCCCACTCCTGAGGCTGAGAGACTGGGGTTCCTGCAGCTCCCTGTCCTCTCCCATATCTGGGGACCATAAGTGAGAGCATTTGGGGAAGGGAGCAGGGTCCACACACCCACTCTTTGTCCTCCTCTTGACTTGTCCCCACAGTTATGAGAAGCGGCTGTACTGAGGACAGTGGCGGAGGCCGAGGTGGTGGAGCAGATGCAGCCCAGGGTCCCCCTTTGGGCACAGCCTCCCTCCATAACTGAGTGGTCCACAGATTTGCACTACGGGTTCCCCAGTTCCTTTCCAGGGAGAGGGGAGGGGAGTCCTTGAGGGGTCTGTAGCCCCTCCCTGGGCATCCCCTGTAGAGTCAGGACTGCTCCCTGGGCCAGGCTGCCCTAGGAGCCCCTGGGTTCTCCCTTCGTCAGCCCCCTGAGCCCAGCCAGCCTGGGCTCTCAGGCCCTGTGCCTGCCTCAGGTCTTTTTTGCTGCAGCCTGCTCCAGCCTGGCTCCTGCCCTGGGGCAGGTGGCCCCTCCTGGCTTTTGTAGGGCACCTCCCTCCCTAGCCCCACCCCAGGAAATGGTGCTCTCCTGGCCCTGCCTCTGGCCCTTCCCAGGCTGCTGCCCCCTCAGCCATGTGGCACTTCTGGGCTCCTGACCTAGGCCAGGGGGAGGTTTCTGCCCCCTTCCCCTGTCCCTGGGTTACCCTTGGGCCCTGCTCCTCAGGCCATTCCCCTGATCCTGGCCCTGGGAGGAGGCTGCCCTGACAATGGCTGCCTGCCCATCATTCCTGACTCACCACCATCCCCAGGCGCACCATTCCTGTCCTCTCCTCAGCTGCAGTTGAAGGCTTTAACTTTGCACACTTTGGGGTCACAGTTGCATCATTGTATATGAAATCTGAATAAATCAAGCAGGTCTCAACACCTCTGCTGTCCTTTCTCCATCCCTTGAGATCACTCAGTGGCTGCAGCCCCACCAGCACCAGGCTAGTTGGGGGCACCAGGCCCAGCCTCTCCAGAAAAGTGACAAAGGCTTTGCAGTACTCTAGGGGGTGTGGACACAGGTGGGCTGCATGGCAGGAGGTCTCTCAGACCTGTGTCCACACCAACATTCCCGCCTACTGCCCGGTGGACAGCAGCTCCTGTAGCCAGGCAGTTTCATGGAGGGGGTCACCATGGCTGTGGAAGACCAGCAACAGAGACCATGTGGGCAGCTGCTAGAAAGCAGCCACTGCAGCTTCATAATGCCGAGGCGTAGTCCAGGCAGAGGCAGAGGTACAGCATGGCTGCAGCCCTGACCACTGAGCCCAGGCATGTGGTCGTATCAGGGCACACGGCAGAGCAGGTCAGCTCCCACTTAGGACCTGCCTCCCAGCCTCGAACTCCCCTCTGGAGGAGACAGCACTGCCACATGGCCACTAAATACCCCTTGGAGGTGAGGGGTCTTGGGACATTGACATTGGCTTTCTGTGCTTCTGTCATAGTTGGGCAGTGGGCACAAAGTTGTCCCACTGAGGTATAGATACCATTCGAATGAGCAGAAGCAAGAACGATGGCCTGGGAATGCTCTGGTGGCAGGAATGAGTAGAGGGTGAAGAAAAGCCTAGTTTGTGGGAAATGAAGGACTGGAAACATTCCCATGACTACTGGAGAGGGGCTTCCACAGCTCCTGTTGGCACCTGCCTTCTCCCAGGCCCCTTCTGACAGACAGCCACTTGGTCAGGGGCCAGGTATACATGGGTGGTGTACCTGGGACCAGATTTTTACTGCATCATTTTCCAGCTCAGTGCTTCTTCAAGGATGAGAAGGAAAGAGCTGGATGGCAAGAATGTCAGATGGTTCAGAGCTGAGCTGGATGGACAATTGCTTCAGAAGTTGTGGCAAAGTGATTGGATCATTGACAGTCCCTGGAGGCCTTGTGCCCTAGAGTCTGTGGCCTTGATGAGCACTTAGAATCAGAGGTGGCCCAGCCGGAAGGAAGGATGATTTCCAGATCCCAGGGGATGGTAACAGATGAGAGGGGACAGACTAAAACGAGGCCTTGTTTCATGGTTTGTCTTGCACATTGGTTTACAAAAACCAGACAGGAAGCAGCTGGATCAGCCATTGAGATGGGAATGGTCTAAGGGTATTCAGATAAATGCCAAGTCACTTTGAATCAAGAGTGTGAATGGTTCAAAGGGAGAAGTTTCCTTTTGAACTAAACCTAGTTGGTCAATAGAACTGAAAAGGCTACCTTATAAGTCAGAGACCTCCCCATACTGGAGGTACATTAGCATTAGTGTGGCTCCTCTAGAGCAGCGGTTCTCAACCTGTGGGTCGTGACCCACAGGAACTATATTAAAGGGCCACAGCATTAGGAAGGTTGAGAACCACTGCTCTAGGGGAAGTTTTAGTGCCGTTGTCCTTGAATTTTGGTGTTTGTCAGAATCACCTGGAGAGCTAATAATGAACACAGAGGCCTGGGGTTCCCAGAGGTGGATGGCAGTCTGGGCTGCAGAACTGTGACTCAGTCCTAAGTGCTGATACATAACAGCTTGAAAATCAACTATTATAGAGGAAATTTGTGCATCCAGTTACATGATTTCTGAGACAATGTCCAAAGCATATGTCCTAAGAAAGGAATTTCAGGTGTCAGAGCACCCATCTCATGCCTCATGGTAAGGATTAGATGAGGTTGGTTATAGGCACTCAGCAAATTAGTCTTATTGTCTCCTATTTGCCCTCCTCTTGTCAGATGAATAGGGGTGAGAGATAAATGCACATATGTGGACCTGACAGCACACTCATGCTGGGTTACAAATTCAGCCACAATGGGGGAGGTCCAGGTGGGATAAAGGGACAGATGCTCTGGATAGGAAGGCCACATCAGGTGGATATTCAGAGGCAGCCCAGAACCACATTTGGGATGCAGATCAGAGATACCTTGTTCAGCAGAACTGCATCTCCACCTGGAGTCCAGCCAGATCTGTGCAGCTCAGGTGCCACTCCCTCACTCCCGGGAACATTCACCCTGTGCCATTCAACCCAGGCTCCTCACTAGCAGGCTATCAAAAGTGGCCTGGCAGACACTGAGGTTGCTGTGGCATCACAGGTCCAGCTCATAAGCAGCACTGTCTGGCTGTGTGAAGGTGTAGAGACCCAGGGAGAGAGTGTGCACCACTGCTGGGCAGCCAGCCTATGCCCCAAGGCCTCACAGCAACCCTAGCACCTGGGCAGCCTGCATAGGAAGTGGCTCAGCATGCTGTGTTGTCAGCACCCCAGGCCAGGCAGAGCTGCAAGCGTTTGGCCTGGGCAGCTGGCCTCTCTGCCAGCCAGAGCAGAAACAGGAGCAGTGTGCAGGGCCCAGGAGACCCTGGGAAGCCTGGCATGTTGTACAGCTGGATGGAGGGGGAGAGTGGGTGGCAGGGAGCCATCTCTGGTGAACTTTGGGGGACCCATGGATGAGGAGCAGTGAGTGTCCTTGGCCTTTGGTCCCTCCCAAGGCTGAGAACAGGGACTCTGAGAGGGCATGACCTGGTCATTCTGGAGGGGGCAGGCCAGCCCTCTGAAGCCCCTTTCAGTTCTAGTACCAATAGGGAAATAGGCAGCCACCTGCAGGGAAGGAGGTGTCGGCATCCCAACTATGTGCAGCTCAGCACCCTTCACCCCCTCACCTCACATCTGGAGTCAGGTGAGGAAAAGGAGACTCAGCCACTACGCATGGAGCATGAGGGGGGCCTCCCCCTGTGCTTCTGCTGAGCCTTTTAATTTTCAGCATCCTTCCTGTTCAAAAGGCCAGACTCCAACCTCAGTCCCCTGCCCGCTGCCTTACACACAAACTCAGCTAATTAGGGGTTGGGAGACCAATCCTGTTCACCTCACCACACCCACTGATGGGGAGAGTTTGGAGGCCAGGACATGGGCAGAAGGGAGTGGCCGTGTCAGAGCACCTTGTCGCCTACAACCTTACCTAGCTCCTGCATCCAGGCCCATTTCTCACACCTCTTGTCCTCAGGGCAGGGCCCCTCACATGCAGGGTACAGGAGTCACCAGCTTCCTCCTCTGTCTGTCACCTTACTTGTGGCTCAGCTCAGGAGGGAAGATGAGGGAGGCCAGGGACCCAAGGAGACCTGGTCTCCTGCCTCCTGCTCCACCCTCTGCTAAGCGCATTGGTGACAATGGTTTCTAGGCCAAGAGCCAGGGTATCTGGCTCCCGAGTCAGCTATGTCCTGAGCTCAGCTAGAGTTGGAGAGGGGGCCTCTGGGCAGCAAGGTGCAAGAGGATTAGCACAGGACAGGTGGAGACCAGACTTTTCCTTGCTCCCTGCCTTGATTTCTCTACTTGTGATCCTAACAGGGACAGGAGCACGCCTACTTCCCAACACCCCAACAGCTTCCTGACTCTTGACCCCACGACTCAGCTATTCCACTTCACCTTTCAGGGCAAGCTCCAGGATGTCTAGGGACAGGGTTGAACGCTCACAGCAGGCCTCTTTTTGCTTCTCCCTCTTCTGCTTGCGGACAGGATGACAGAGGCTCCAAGAAGTTCATCTGACAACTGTCACGGTGGGTAGAAAGGTTCTTCCCAGAGAAGAAAAGGGGACTAGGAGCTGGGCTGAACTGCTCGCCACAGGGAGGGAATGTTGCCTCCTGTGGTCCTTATTATCCCATGCCCAACTGCCCAACTTTAACCTCTTCATTCCCACTGCCCCCTCCCAGTGGAAAGCGGGCTAGTGGGAAACAAATTGGGTATTTGAGCTGCGGATTCTGAGCTTCAGGAAATAGACTAAGGGGAGAGACTTTCAGGGATCGCGCTCAGGGAGTCCTGCTCTGAATCCTCTTTCCTTCCATGGGAGAAAGGACATCGCTCCCAGTCCTCCCCGGGGTCATAGTGCTTCCAACTCCCTCCCATACCGCTGGTCTCTGGGAAAATCTGGGGACAAAAAGAGCAAAGAGCTTTTATATGGAGACGTTAGGGTGAGAAAAAGAGCAAAGAGCTTTTATATGGAGACGTTAGGGTGAGAAGACGGAAGGGTGTCCCCTCCTGGCTGCGACTCCGGGTCTGGGAGCTTCAGAAGCAGTGCAGAACTGAGGCCAGCAGATGGCGCCAGCACCCACTGACCTGTGGGACCCTCGGAACCCGGAGCCGGGCAGTTTCCTAGGCAACAGGCTGCGCTTCCGAAAGCCCTTCCCTTAACGACCATTCCCGGGTCACCCAGGTCCCAGTAAAATTTGGCTTCTGAAGGACAGGAAGGGACTGGGGGTAAATTAATCTCTCAGAAAGGAGAGAGGCTGGCTGGGATGGGGAAGGCAGCCTAAAAGACCCCCGTTTTCGGCGCCATTTATTACGACGCGCCAGACCGTGTGCTGGGTGCTTCTTATCTTCAGCGACTCTATTGACAGCATGCGTGTTCTTTCACTGTGGAAGGAGAAGACGCGGCTCAGAGATATAAAGCGACACCCCCAAGCACAGCTGGTAGGAACTTAGGCCCACCTGGATGTCCTCCTATCCCACACTATTCTGCCTCCTGCCAAGGGTCAAGTGTCCAAGCCGGGTGAGGAGAGCTGATGCCAGGCTTGCTGGGAAACCGGGAGTAGCTGTAGTGGGTGAAGAAAGACAAAAAGGAATCCAGCACCTTCTGGCCGAGTTCTTTCCGTGACCAGCCCGAGTTGGGCCGGGGGCGGGGGGGGCTCTGCTCAGGGTTACCCCTGACCGCTCCCTGGGGCTTCTTTCTATCAAAGGACCACAGAGATGGATGGAAGGGGACTTAGGAATTCTGGAGGCTGTGTGACCTATTCAAACCACGGCAAGAGAGCACTCTCCAAGAAGGGCAGGAAGCTGGAGTGCAGGACTATTCTGGGGAGAGAATTCAGGAAAAGATTCAGTTTCAGGAATTGTGCAGACAAGAAAACCAACTTCAAGCAGGTCAAGAGAAAGATCTGGAGG